GAGAGAGAAGGAGACAGTAGGGTTTGAGCCAGAAGCATTGTTGGAAGACATCTGAAAAGGAAGAACAACAAGTTTAGATTAGATAAAGAATGCTTAATAAGTCACCCAAATGAAATATTAAGGCTAGGACCCAACACAATATTTTATAACTTGGAAGAGGGATGCCGTAATCCAAGCTACAAAATATTTGAAGGTAGGTAAATGACGATTTACCAATTTCCACCATCCAAAACGAACTAAATTATTAGGTTTTAATTGGCTTGAAAACTCCTAGATCTTTTGAGATTCATTGAACAATTCAATGGCATGTTTAAATCTCGATTGTGCCCTTAAGTTTGTAACTGGGATGCCGAGGATCACAAACAATGTGTGAATAACCATGCAAATTAACTTGGTACCCTTAACTTTATTACCTAATCGATGTGCCGGTTAACCACACACGCTCCACCGATCTATAATAAACATTAAGTTACCCTTTGCTACCCTTACTAGTCCAGGTTAGGGTGCCGGTTAACCACACACGCTCCACTAACGACTTGGTAATGGTACAAAGTGTAATTTCATGGGTTAGCACCAAATTCACATTATCCTAAAGTAACTAAGATTGGGAATTCCTAAAAAGTGTAGTTACTTTAAAATAATCATTATACTTTATAATGAGAATTAATGTCCTATCCTACCCGTTCGACTAACGACCCTCCACCAGTCAAGGAAGCGGTGGGTGAGAGTAGACACCCATTAAACTGCCATTTTATAGGCAGTAACCTTATACCCCCCTTATAGACCAGCTTCGTGAATGAGGCCTACTAACGGTAAGACTGACTTAATTCTTATACATATATATACATATTAACCATTAATATTATAATAGTATAATGGTTGAATTTTAACTTTTAAAATTCTAGTGGTTGGAACTAAAGTTTTCTAAAGTGACTTTACAAGTTCCAAAACTTGAGGGCAAGTTTTGAAACTATTCAAAACTTTTCATTTCTTGTAACTTATGAGATTTAATGGTTTTAATGGAAGTGGCCTTTGGATTTCCATAACTTGAGGACAAGTTATAGAGTCTATTCAATGTCATTAAGATCAAGAATTACACTAATAAACAATTTGCACATAATTCCTATGATCTACCAAAACTCATAAGCATGAACATTCATAATCAAGAATTTTCAAGAATCACATAAACATATATAAAACTTGAAACTTTGATTACAACTTTGAAATTGGTTTAACACATAATCATTACCACATCAAAAACAGGTTTTATAAGTCCAAAACTGTTTAAGGTAATGATTCTAGACTAATTCCAGCAACAAAACTCGAAAATTTGCACTCAGGCCTGCCAACTCGTCGAGTACATGAACTGACTCAGTGAGTTGGTTGAAGATACACTTGGACTCGTCAAGTTCCATGAAGGACTCGTCGAGTCCCCTGAACAGAATCCAGTTTTTCGACATTTTTCAGCAATTTGCATCAAGTATAAAGAAAACAAGCCTAGGCTGTGATACCACTGTTGGGTTTTGAGCATTCTAACACTCCTATGGTGTGCATGCAACCCTAGAAACATTGGATCTATGTTTTCTCTAATATACATGCAAATATGATTTTTTCCAAGGTTTCATCCTAACTAGCATTTCTTGAAGCATACGTAATACAAAAATTTAGTAGAATGACATACATTTTCTTGTTGCTTGATTCCTTAAGACCTTGTGAGACTAGCACCCCAAATGTGATGCCTCAAATGTTTCACACAACACCAAAACTCTTGGAATTACTTGAGAGAAGAACACTTGAGCTCAAAATCGGCTAGCCCTCTTTGTCTTAGTCTAAATGCCGATTTTGCAAGCTAATGGGGTCTTTATATAGTGTGCCACATGTTGGGTTACACCATGTAAACCCTAATGTGCATGGCTTTTCATTTCCTCCATGATCCATGGGTTTTAACCTCCATGGACTATCCATGGATCACCCCATGGGTCCTAGCCCAGCATAATGAATCATGGATCATAAGCCCACTATATAAGAATGCATGATTTACACAATCAATCCCCATTTATTTAATTAGTCTCTTTTGATCACAAAATTAATTCCAAATTAATTCTTGATCAATACTAATTAAATAATATGATTTCATATTAATATATTAGAACTTATAATATATTAATAAATCATAAGTGTCCTTTATCTCATTTTGTCTATCCAATTGTTATGATGCCATGCAACCCAAATGGACCATGCCGGGTTGGGTCAACTACATACCAAATATAGTTATGGACTTAGACACACTATCCAACACTAATCACCAAACTAACTTCAAAAGAGAGAGAGAGAGAGAGAGGAAGAATAGAAGAAGAACCCACGGTTCTAGAGAGCAAAGAGAAGAAAAATAAGAGTTTCACTCTTGCAAAAATGCAAGCCTCATGCATCTATTATATAGCCCATGAAAAGTAAGGCATAACCATTAAAATAATCTAAAGTAATGGTAGCCTTTAGAAGCATGAGAGACAAAAAGTGGAAGGTTGAAAAAGCAACCTCCCACACCATCAATATTCCTTTTAAAAAGTAAGATTCTTTAATTTTTTATAAACTCCAAGTTTATAAAATATAAACTTTTTCTTTAGGTAAAAGACAAAAGAATCCAACTAGTCCAAAATGTTGTGCATGACTTAGGTGTTGTTTGTTTTTTTAAAAAACCTCTTCAAACCACTTTCTGCTGCGCGGCGTAGCACACGCGCAACACTTTCCCTCTCGCAACAGTTTGTTTTTTTGGAAGACTTCAAACTACAAAACCTCTACGCGTGTGCTGCGTGGCGCATCACTTGATTTGCCTCTTCAAACCTCTTCAGCTTTCATTTTTTCCAAGTGTTTTTTTTAGAATTTTGGTAAAACTTATTTTTTTTAAACTTCTATTTTTTTTTAAACTTTGATTTTTTCAAACTTTTATTTACGGATTTGATACAATTTCTTTTTATAGTTTCCATAAATTTTTTGAACTTGATTTTTTGAAAAAAAAAAACTTTGATTTTTTAATTATTTACCGTTTCTGTTAATAATATTTTCAGTTTCAACTGCATCTTTTTTAACGTGTGTAATTTTTTACGAACTTTGTAGACATTCTTTGCAATACTTTCTTAATTTTTTTTTATTATTTTCTTTTTGTATGTTTTTTAAAATTAGTTTTTTCTAGAATAAAACTGTTACCTTCTTTTATTTTTTATTTTTAAGTTTTTTTTAAAAGTTTTATATTTTTGTTTTTTAAATGTTCTTTTTAGTATTCTTTCAATGTTTTAAGACTAGAATTATTAAAATTTCGTTGTTGAGAACTATTTTCAGTTTATAAAATTAGTTTATTTAAATTTCAGTTTATTGCAGCAGTCTGCAGATGTTAAAAAACAAACATGCTTCTTATTATAGGCTGCAGCCGTTTGTTCCACCTCTTCTACTACAGATGATTGCAGAGGTGGTCTGCAGACTTCATGAATTTTCGCTTCGAAAAAACAAACAACACCTTATTAATTCATACCATATGAAATAATAAATAGTAATACTCTCTTATAATTATTATTTTCACAAAACAATAGTTATTCCCTAATTAAAATACAAGAATCGATATTATTTATTAATAATCATATTAATAATAAATATACAAAATGTACCAACTTGATAAAAGTGTGACCCTATAGGATCATATATTATTAGCAATATCACTCCATAATGATTTTTGGGCATATAGATCCAACAGATATAAATAACACTCGATCAGGTTCACTGCCTATAATATGAGTTTGTTGTGTTAGTTGTTGTTAGTAAATAAGCAGAATGGCTAAGGCTTACAGCAAGGTTTATAATGGCAAGTCTAGATACTTAGGTGTTTGACATAGTATGATTAGAGAACTAATCATGAATGGTGTGACTTCGATAGAGTTTGTTAAATCGCAACAAAATTTGGCAGATCACTAGACTAAAGGTCTGACAAGAGACTTAGTGCACAAGTCTGTTATAGGTATGGGATTAAAGTCCATTTAATTTTGTAATGGTGAGACACCCAAAGTAATAGAGAGGTAATAGATCATGTTAATATCTTTTAGTACCAACTTAGAATAGTAATTATGAGTCACATTAAGGTATAATCAAGTTAAATTACAATATTGGAACTAGAATTGTTTAGTTCATTGTTTACAGATCTATTTCATTTTCTGCATGTTTTCAAAGTAGATTGTTATTTACATAACTTGATATCTTGCAAACAAAACTCCATTTGTGACCAAAGTACCTTATGCAAATAGATATAGACATTAGCCATAAGTCTTTGTGGATCGACTCTGCTTATTTGTTGGATTTGACAACCTAACATTATTGTAGAGGCCCAAAAAAACTATGTGAAATAGCATTTAATTTGATTACATGTGCAAAAGCAAAACTAATGATTTTCACATTTTTTCATAAACCATATGTATTACCAAAGGTCGAAAAGAAATCGTGTACTGCGGCGTAGTAGTAGTATGTAGACATGAGAAATTTTATTTGTTAATTTTCAAATAACCAAATTGAGGTTTATCTTTTAATTTAAATTAAATCTACCCCATGCTATATAATAGATACCTCTTAAAACAATTTCATCTTTTTTAGTTAATAGATACATCTTTAAATAATTTCATCTGTTTTTTATTAGAATGTATCACGATTATTTTTGGAATCTGACCCACAAACCCGTGAATTTAAATCTGACTCCTAAACCTACAAATCTATATGATTAAATGGTTTAATGGGTTGTGTTCGAGTTGATGTCCCAACCTATGAACCCTAGACAAAAATAATTATATGGATCGTATAAGAATTGATTTATTTTGACTTGTCAACCTGTTATTCTATGACGCAAGATAGGATAGTCACCCCTAAGATAGATAGGGCCATGAGGAAATCACATATAGAACAGAGAACTGCAAAAATTCAATAAACCATTTTTTTTAATATTTAATATTTTTGACGAAATCGCAATGCGTGGGATCATTCTAAGCTATTTTGGCGACCCTGCAGTCGGTGCTTCATTCACCTCCGGCAACCCCTTTGTGATTTGATCTTGTAATTCTGGGTTTTCGTTCTATTTTTTGTTTTGATTTGTTGAAGGGCAGTCCAGCAGATCTCGAATGAGAGCTGCCTCTAATAAAATGGGTATTGAAATCACATCGATATCAAGGCAGATAAGTCCATCTGAAGCAATGTTACAGTGTTATTGTTCCTGTTCATCTACAGCTTTCATCGAGAATCATGTGAGACCTTTCTCCCTGTTCCCAATTTTACTTGCATTTGGTTGTTGCGACTGATTTAGAGTGAGGGTATTTCTGAATGATGAGATTTTTTTGCATATGCTTGATTGGATTTCCTTCTTACATAATATACCTCTACTGCAAGCCCTAATTCGTTTTGTTTACATAATTATGTTGGGTTCTATATATGTTGAGCTAGGGGTTAGATTAGGACTTATAGCGAGCAAATTTGTACTTTGGCTGTTGCAACCATGTTTCATTTTTAGGCCCTTTGGCTGTTGCAAAATTCCAACATTGTGAATATCACAGGGCTAGGTTAAGTTAGTGGTTTGATCTATACGATGTTCAAGTTAGTAGGAGGATACTTCTGAAATGTTTTGGGAAGTAACAGATTATGCTGCTCAACACATGATTTCCAAAGACACCTGATGTTGTTAAACGTATATGGTGTTCGTTCCATTCAGTAAATGGGTTTGTTTATATGGAACAAGTCATATCTAGCATGTTTTTTATGATGCTCTCTCTTTCTTTTTTTTCTTTTTTTTTATTTTATTTTATTTTTATTTTATTGATATGTTCTTGTAGATGCAGCTGACATGTTGTTATTGTGGGTTGTTAGATACCTGAATATTGATTAATTGCAGGTGTTAAGAACAAGTGGGTGAGCTGTTCTTGAGGAAGAAAGCTCATTGTCAAGAAGAAAAGAGCCTCACTTCATGACTTTGAGCAGTTCTTGAGATCATTTTGGCAAAGATTATGATAACTTAACTTTCAGTTTGCAGTTTTAAAGATTGAATCAATACCAGAATATTGCTTTTCATTCATGCCTATTTGTGCTTGTTTTTTTTTCTCTACTGGTCTTATTATGATTGTAAAACAATTATTGAAGACATGTGAGTTTGACTATATCTAGAGAACAGGGCACCCTGTTCCAGATGGATTGCTGGACCAAGCAATCGAGGTGAAGCCTACAACATATGTTGAAATTAATTGGTATATTAGAAAGTTGAGGTTAAATGTTAAGTAGAGATATATACGTACATGTATGGTTTTGTTTTACCTTTGTGTTGTTAATTTGTAAGTCTTTGTTGTGGCCTCATCATTTGAAATACATACACCATTATATTCTTGATTTTGATCGACAAGTTTTGACTTCATATTTGCTATTCATTTGATTTGTTTTTGATATTTTAGTTGGACATCTCGTATATTCATCATGAATGATGCTAAAATAATACAATTCTGTCACTAGCAATATTTAGCTATCAATTTTATCATAAATTAAAAAGGAAGTGATTCTTTTTCCATATTCCTTGTTCATTAATCGGAAATCAAGATCCGAGCACTCTTACTAAATTATATAAATTATAAATTAACGAGATGAGAGTAAACTTGATCCTATTCTCTAATCCGTGTTGAATGGCAATGATGAATTATGAAAGAATCCTAAGGACAGCTGAACGTACTAGCTCCTTGCTAGACAGGTAGGTTTCTTAATGATATAGATCTTGTTAAAAATGACAGCTGCACGTTGCAAAATTGGTCGTTCCATTGCTGTTAAAAGCTGGTGGGTTTAAGAAATAAGTGAGAGAAGTGTTTTTCAACATCTAGTATAAAGTGTAATTAAGGATCAAATTTATAGAATTAATGTATGTTTGGACTTTTAAAAACAAAACTCTCATACAATTGGATGGCTGGGGAGAAAGTGGGACGAGAGTTTATAATTGAACCAGAGGAGGAACGAGTGATACAACATATTTATACACCAACACACTCAAATAACTAATTAATTAACACTCTTCATCATCTAGTCTGACTTCAGTTTCTAAATGAACAAGAGGAGGAGTAAATGATACAACACTATTTATACATCAACGCACTCAAACAATTAGTTAACATCTCTATTAATGTACACCCTCGAATAATTTAAAGAGACATATGCTTCCTGCGGCGCTCTCTGTCTAACTGTTTCGTTATTTAGCCTCTCACAGTTATTGAATCTCAAATATCGGATAGATGACATGTTGGTTAACCATATAGGCAGTTCTTGTATTTTGAATCTTCTTATGGTTAACTCAGTCAGGGAGGTGAGGTGTTGTATTTCTTCTGGCATCAACTCACAATGATACCAACCGTCCAAATATAAAGAGTGAAGGTGGTCCCTTAACTTCTCGATGCCTTGGAGACTCGGGAAAGAATCGAGCTCCCTCGAGAACGGACCAAGTTCCAACCTTTTTAAGAAGGAAAAACAATCAAATGTTTCATGAGGCAAGGAAGTCAGGTTGGTGCAATACATAATTGTCAAAGTCTTCAAAGAATGACACTGGTTGGGCAAATTGATTATTTCTAAAAGACGACGACACATGATAATTTCTAAAGATTCAAGAGATGTGAGGCCTTCTATGCTCTTAATGGACACCAGACCTATGCAACCCCATATCTTTAAGGAAATAAGAGGATGGGGATGGCATTCATCTAAGAGATTAATCTTATGGCAGAAACGAATCTCCAAGCTCTCAAGAACAGGCGATATCATTATTGAGCTGTTGGGTGCTCCGTCTATCCACTTTTCCAGTCTTTTCATATGTTTTAGTTGGAGTGATCTCAATGATGGAGACAGAGGCTTGCTTGATCCAGTAACATCGGAACTCCTTAAGTATGTCAAGCTGTCCATACGTTCTAGCACAAGATCCCGAAGATGTGGCAGGTGCTCAAGCGTCGGAAGAGAGAGGCAGCTCCTACATCCATATAATCTGATCTCCACCAGCTTGTCAAGGGGCATCTCTTTCCTATCAATATTGACTGCCATCTTCATTACCCATTCTGGAAAATTATCACCACAAAAACTGTCAATTTTCAATATTTTCACATCTTGTGGGGGTTGCAAGCCTTCCAATACATCCTTGTCAACTCTGCTGGAGCCTTGATCATCCACATTCCAACTGAAATGAATATCGTATAACCTTTTCTTTCTAGATAAATTTGCCTTAACAGCATCCTCTTTGCTCCTAACATTTTCAAGACCGCCAATATGGAGCTTTCCACCAAGGTTATTCAAATGGCGTAGCTCTTTTATACCATGTCCCTTCCTTCTAAGCACTGTGAAGGAAGGCAAAGTTCGAAGAGAAGTTAGTTGTCCTACGATATTGGCAGGAATGTTTTTGTCACACTGGAAATATCGCAGGCTTATCAAATTTCTCATGGTTTCCGGAAACTGGTTCAAGTCTCTAGGCAGCTTCAGAGTTTGCAAGTGGTATAATTTTCCAATAGATTTTGGAAGAACACGGATCTTGTTATATGACAAATTAAGATATCTGAGATGCACCAACTCTCCAATTGAGTCGTCTATCTTCTCTATCCCACAACTTTTGAGCTTTAGGATTCGCATGCACTTTAATGGTTGAAATGAAAATTTCTTCTCAACTTCACCTCTGATGAACAGTGTATGCAAACTTCTAGCCACTGTATCCCTTTCAGTGAACATAGACACCTTGGCTTTGAATTCATCATCCTCTTTCCGTTCTTGGTAAAAAGAGAGATGTTTAACCTGAGGGATACATGTGATATCATCATTAGTCGCATCCACAAGACATCGACTTTCATGTTTTGAAAGTGATAAAGAAAGATCATGCACCATATCATGCATGCGACAACGAGTGATGTGACCATACTCATCCCTTTCATCATCTTGGAACAACGAATTGCTGACCAAATTTTGAAAAATATCATTTCCAACATCCTCCATCTCCTTGTTTTTTTCCTCATCTGCTTGAACCAACCTAAAGCCATCCAAAGTCGGACCAGTTTTTCCCTTTTCATGACCTTATCTTTCTTAAAGATGGAACAATATGCAAAGCATTGCTTGACCATAGAATTGGGGAGATTATCAAAGCTCAGTTCCAAACTCTTTTGAACTCTATCCGTTTCTTCTTCTAGATCCCAAACCTTGCTATTTTGTATGGACAACCACTTTTCTTTGTCATTATTGTAATTTGCCAACATGCCACCTATTACATTTAATAGCAATGGTAAACCACCACATTTTTTTACAATCTCGTGGCCTATGGATTCCAGTTCTGGAGACGGTGATGTGCCTGCCACAAACGCTCTTTCTCTAAAGATGTGCCAACAATGATGATGAGAAAGACCTTTTAAATGACATGAATCAGCCTTCATTCCAGTTGTTCCGATTTCAAGTTTCCGTGTAGTGACAAGAATGCCACTTCCATTTTGTGAGTTTACACCTATCATACACCTCCTAAACTCTTCCCAATATGGCCTCTCTTCAACCCAAACATCATCCAAGACCAGAAAATATCTTTTTGATCCCAACTTCTCTTCAAGACTTTTAATTAAATTGACCTTAGAGTCCGACTCAGGTTTCTTTCCAGCAAGAGATTCATAGATCTTTGTAAGAAGAGTGATGATGTCAACCTTAACCGACACACACAACCATGCTCTCACATCAAAATGCTGCTCGATTCTTTTATCATTGTAGATAGACTTAGCAAAAGCTGTCTTCCCAATACCGCCCATTCCCACAATGGGAAGAACTGTAAGTTTTTCTTCCATTCTTGATTGGGTTAAAAGCTCTATGATACGTAGTTCATCAACTTCCCTCCCAACAATTTTGAATTCTTCTGGATGTGGAATAGTCTCCCGATAGAGATGATCCGGAACAGGGCCAACAGGGTATTGTTCATTTTGTAGTCCTAATCTGTTTGCTTCTGTATTGATCTTAAGCAACGTTTCATTGATGTTCTCGATTTTATGACCTATTTCCCAGCGAAATGAAAGCTTTTTTAGGCTAGGAAGAGATGAACCATTCTTGACAACCGATCTCGTTTCTTTATCTGACGCCTCAGCATTTCATAATGAACCTCATCCAACACATCATCAGCTTTGCCCACCACATCTTTTAGTTGCTTCAGCCACACCATCACAGCCTCTGTTCCCTTTTGTCTCTCTGCATCACGTATCTTGGCACGAAGCAGGTCCAATGTTCCATGAAGGCTGATCAGCTTTTCTTGATAACCCCAAGCAATGGCTAGTTCGCCGGCAGCAACAGACAACACCTTTTTCAGTATTCCCTCGGCAGCAATAGTGACTAAACTTCCGGCCATTTTAACTGTTAATAAAATGAGAGAGTTAGCTCTGTGAGAGAGAGAGAGAGAGAGAGAGAGAGAGAGAGAAGCCTGCAACCTTTCTTCATTTCTTATTTCTTGTTATTTTATATATCCTTTTGATTTGTCTCATGATTTTCATTTGTAATATTTAGTAAAACATATTTAAAGATTATGATTATTTGAAATAATTAATACATTAACTTTTTACAATTGCAGCCACTGTTCTAAAGGCTCGTTATGACGACCCAAACAATTGCATCCAAAAATTTATGAATACCCCTATATATTCTTTAATATATCCAAAGAACAAAAAGCAAATTTCTATATAGGGAAAAATGTATATATTTAAAAGTGAACCAAAGGGCTTCTAACCCAGCGGTATTAGGTGGTGCCCTCCTTCCTTGAGGTCCAAGGTTCAAGTCTCGTCGTGAACGTAGGTTGATTTAGGTGTTAATTCAGGAGTATATTATATTATATTTGCCGGTTAAAAAAAATGTAGGAGTAATGTAAGCATTATAATTCATACTTTTAACATCGACATATCTGGATCCATATTTTCAATATGATTAGTTGATATTGATACAGCATCCTCCATAATGATAAATTTATCTAATGATTTTTTACTATTTTTCACATCTGATTTCAGCAACTCTATCTAATAAAAACTCGATTTATATATATATATATATAATATATATAGATATATATATATATATATATTATATATATATAAAACTGATATTTGAAAAGCATTTTGTATTAAAAATTAATTTTTAAATAAATATAATTTATTTATTTATTTATTTTTTTGGAAAGGAATAAATATAATTTATTACATGCACCGGTATGAAAAATTTTCTTTAAATCGATCAAAAAAATAATCCTTCTAGAATTTGATTTTATTACAAACTTAAGGTCGATATAAAAAAAAAAAACCATATAGTGTTAACATCCAAATAAATAAAACACTATTACAAAATATATTTTCCCATAAATAACCATTTTGGTATTCCGAATAAATATGAGGAGATATACAACATACAAAGGCTACGGGCCATAATAATTAGCTTACAACATATATATATATATATATATATATATATATATATATATATATATATATATATATATATATATATATATATATATATATGCGAAAAGTGAATATACCCTTCAGGGAATATAAGCTTAGGTATCCAAACTCACTATAATACGTCGTTTTGTATCATATATACATTGTAATTGTCCAATGTTTTTATAATTCACCTTATAACTTGATTTACTTTTAATATTTTTAAAAATTCCACATTTATCTTGCTCTTATATAATTCTCATTTTCAGCTATAATATATATAGCTTAGTAGGTGTTCAGCAAAAACATTTGATGTAAGAGGAAATAATAGTGAAATTTCAAAAATTTTGAAAGTAATCAAGTTAGGGGTTGAAGTTTAAGAATATTATATCGAATATATCAAACAAAATGCATTCGTATACAAACATATTTTTATAAAAAAAAGTATACAAACTAGTAAGTTATAAAAAACAAATACGTTTTATAAAAAAAAATATGTAAACACATTTTTATATAAAAGAAATTGTATACAAAAACCTATTATTTTTTATGCATATAAATATATAAATATATACAAATACGTTTACTATGAAATTATATATATATATATATATATATATATATATATATATATGTTTGTATATATTTTTATAAAATACGTGTTTGTATACATTTTTATGGGTATAATAATGTATTTTACATATCTGTAATTCACGTATTTTCACTTAACTACGTTTTATAAATAGGTATTTAACATAAAAAATATTTTTATAAGTATGTGTTTTGTATACAAAAATGTTTTAAAAAAATTATATAGAAAAAGAAGGTTTTTTTATGTGAAAATATGTTTTTTTTTATAAATATGATTTATACAGAAAATAAAAACAAATGTGAAACAACTTTTTTTAAAAAAAATGTAAAAAAACAAAATTTAGGATGAATTCGAAACAAAATTTTAAAATCTAAGCAAGAAATATAACTTTTACACCAAATTTGTAATAAATTTTAAAACTTTGACCAAAAATATAAATTTTAAAAGTAAGATGACCTGTGGAACATGTAAAAGGATAAAAATGAATACAATTATCCAGTTTTGGGACGTAATTAAATAAAGAATATATAAGAACTAAATCGATAATGAAGTGAAGGGTCCAATTAATGGTTTGGTCTAGGCTTTCATTGTAATATGTTCTTTTGGGTCAATGTGCAGTTTTTAGTAGTTTATTTGTAGTTTACGGCCATGTGATGAGTTTACGGCCGTAAGCCTGTTTACGGCCGTAAACCCAAAGTCGGCCCAAGTCCACTATATATAGATGCTAGCTAGGTCATTTGATGGTTGTTGATGCCACAGAGTTCACGGTAGATATAGACAAGTTGTACCAGACGTTTTTCATCAATAGAAGCGTGTGCAAGCTTGTTCTGATTTATGTTTCTACTTCATTCTCATTATTATTGATTGTTTTGTTTGTTTGATCACTGGTAAGATCCGTTTTAGGACCTTACAATTGGTATCAGAGCAAAACCAGTGTCAAAGCATCTTACAATCGAGTTTTTGGCCATATTCTTCATTGTCTACGATTGGAGTTGGTGTTTGCTGCGAAGGGGAATCAAGTTCAATCCAAAAATCGTGATTTCTTGAAGTTCTGGGAGTTTACTGCCTAGAGTTTACGGCCGCAAGCTCAAGAAGTTTCTTGGACCGTAAACTCAGTTCTTGGACCATAAATTAAGTTTCATCAATAACCGCAAGCTTAGATTCATAAACCGTATACATCGACCGTAAACTCTCGACCGCAAACTCACGACCGTAAACCGAGTTTACGGCCGTAAACACCCCTTTGACCGTAAACGCTTATTTTGACCGGAAACTCATATTTTTTTAAAGAAAATAATTTAATTTTTTTTATTTAAATTAATATTCAATGGATTCACGAAGTCAAACACATCACCATGAGCTGGACTCTGTCATGGGCACAACTACTCGCATTCCAAGACTCTTGTCTGCAGATGGTTTTCCTGAGTGGAAATACCGAATTGAGAAGTACATTAAAATGAAGGACTTCAAAATTTGGAGAAGCATCATTAAGAATCCCGTTAGAATAACCACAACTGTTGCAGGGCAAGTGGTTGACAAAGCAATTGAGAATTACACTGATGAAGATTTTGAGAAGGTTGAGGAGCAAGAACGGGCTTTGGCCACTCTGACCATGGCTCTGTCTCCGGATATAGCTCAAGGTTTTAGGGAGTATACTTCAGCAAAGGCTCTGTGGGAAGCCTTAATTGAGGTATATGAAGGAAATGAAGATATGAAGGAGAGTCGCCAGGACATGCTGCGCCAAAAGTTCAACATGTTCAATTACGTTCCTGGTGAGACCCTGGAGGTACAGCTTCAACGATTCATAACTCTCACCACTGAGATGAGCATAGCTGGAATCTTCTTGACAAAGTCTGAAATAAACAAGAAGCTACTAAATGCCCTTCCAAAGTCATTGGACATGAATGTAGCCGTTATCAAGAAGACCAAAGACCTAAATCGCCTTATTCTTGCTCAGGTGATGGCGATCATCAAGGCGTGTGATATTGATGATAAACAGCGGGAGATAAACCATGTGAATTCGTACTCAGCTACAAATCTTGGAATTTCATCTGACAATGCTCTTTCATCTCTCACTTTTCCCTCTACAGGTCAACCTTATGCTGCTCAGCAAGTTCAGACTCAATCCTTTCCACTTCATCAGCTACTTCACTTCCTGCTGCATCATCCATGCCTCTTCCTCAGAACCAATCATTTGCTGCCTCTCAAGTTGCTTCTTCTTCTAACGGGGCTTCTTCCTCAAGTGCTAAGGAGTGTGATGAAAATCTTGCTCTCGCCACAGGACTTGTCAACTGCTACAATGCTCTTGTAGCTGCAGATCTTCCACCACAATTGTTGTTTGCTGATCTGGATCAGATTCATCCAGAAGACGTGGAAGAAATGGATATTACATGGCAAATTGCCATGACAGTTTTCAGCGCGAAGCAGTTTGCTAAGAAGACCGGGAAGAACAACTGGGGTATGAGTGTCGATAAGAAGGTAGGGTTCAACAAGGGAAAGTTACGTTGTTTCAATTGTCATGAGCCAAGTCATTTTGCTCGTGAGTGCCCGATGTCGGATCGAAGATTGAACAACGACAGGACAATGGTTGCGATGGGAAACAATCGGGGAGGTGCTCAGGTCAATAGCGAGAAGGCTATGGTTGCTCAGTCATTTGACTGGGAGGACCAGATGCAGGCCTTGAATATTTCAAAACCTGAAAATGCTCACCTAGCCCAAGTCAAAGATGAAGCTTCTGTGGAGAGTGTTGCTGCTGAAGAAAAGATGATGGAGCTTCAGTTTGCTTTGATGGTATCTTCTACTTCTGAACCGAAGAAAAGTGAGGTAAGTTTGCCTTCATGCTCTCAAGCTTGTGTTGATTATGTTAAAATTCTTCATGAGGAAATAGAAACGTTACTTAGAGAAGTAGAGGACCTTAGATATGAGGGCTATCAACTTAGAAAAGGACAAAAACCCCTTAAGGCCCAGTTAGAAACTAAAATAAAGGACTTTAGAAGACTTCAGGAGGACTACAGTAATAAATGTGAGAATTATGACTACATAAAGACACGGAACGCTGAATTAATTACTGAACTTGACACATTAAAGAGCAAATTTGAGACTGCTGATTTCGATTTTAGAAAATTTGATGTATCAAGTGAAGTAGTTGCCAACATGATAGACCACTGCATGCAATTTAAACATAATCAGTCTAAGGGTCTAGGGTATGACAAAGTGCCTCCTCCTTTCAACCATTCATACCAGTTTCAACCTTTGTCCAAGGAGGAGATTGTCAATGAACCATTCATGGTTTATGGCAAGCCGTCTGGTTTTGTTTCGGGAGGATTTATTAAT